CCTTAATGATGTTGGTGAGTAACATGGTTATTTAAATAACACAAATTTACTAATTAAAGTCAATTTAAATTTTAGGGCATGCTATTATTTGGTACATACGCAGGTGGTGATACCGCAATAGTAGCAGGTACAAATTTAAACTAATATTATTTGAGAAATTATTAATTTTTTAAAAACAATTTTTAATAGACATGACAAACAACTTCACGGCCACAGTGTTTGCCATCGGGAATACCATAGCGTTTACATGCGGTGTCATAACACCCCTCGTAATCGGGTATATACTGGAGGCTAACAATGACACCCCCCGTAAGCAATGGGGTTATGTTTTCTATATGTCGGGCGCTATCAATATATGCGGGGGTTTAGTGTTCGCGGCATTCAGTTCAGCGAAACAACAGGATTGGGATAAAGACCCGGATAGTCAACAAAATGATGATAAGATAGTTACCAGAATATAATATTAATAGGAAATTACTTAATAATAATAACACTGTTTATATAATTTATAATACTATTATTGTATTTATTATATTTTGTAATAATGTATACATGAAAATATTATTTTTGTAAAAATTTTTATAATTTAATTATAATAATTAATTCATTATTACTTACATTAGTTTCTATTTTACATAATTATTAACTTTATAATGTTACAAAATATATAAATTTTAGATTTGTTTAAATCAGTATATTTATATCATAATTTAAATACATATAGTAGTAATACTGTAAAATATTGTACACTATTTTTTTATAATATTTTTAGTACATACAATAAACATCTATATTACATTTTAAACTAATTATAATGTTTGATAAACAGTGCAAAAATAGTTTGAAAAATAACCTCTAATTTTTACGTACAAAACTTATCATAGTGTATATCAAGTACAATTCAATAGGAATTGCCTAACCTTTAACAAAAATCCCTTACGTTGGCTATACCTGTAACTTAAAATCACTGTTAGAAACCTATTATAAGATATCTCTAATACCTTAAACAAATGCCAATAGACTTAACCACACAGTAGTAACACGTGATTAGCAAAAGTTACGATAAGTTTTAACTAATATTTGCTTTGATTTCATGCATCAGAAAGTGTTTATAAATCGATTGAAACGCAAAACTCGACTCAAACTGAAAACAAAAACTTTTATTTCTCGTAAATACGTTATGAGTGACTATAAGGCCAGCGATGATGACAAACACAGTATCGCCAGGCGTGAGAGGACCGGTAGCTTATCGGCCGTACCTACGGGCAGTGCACCGGCCATACCTATTAGATACATGGTGGCCGGGCTGGTGTTACTGTGCACATTCAACCTGTACATGTGCCGTATTAACCTAAGCACGGCTATCGTGGCAATGAGCAAGTTCAATAAATCCAGTTCCCCTGGTGGTGGTAGCGATGTGTGCGGCACTAGTAACTCGGATACCGGTGCCAAAGGTCACGATACTGGCGAGTTTGACTGGAGCGAGAGTGACCAGGGTGTTATTTTAGGCGCATTTTTCTATGGGTACCTGGTGTTTCAGATAGTAGGTGGGCGATTGGCCGAGATTTTTGGTGCTAAATGGTTGTGCGCGGGTGGTATAGGTATGTCTATACTGGTGAACGCGCTGACACCAATGATAGCCAGGTCACTGCATTATTGGCTACTATTGGCCAGTCGTGTGGTGTTGGGTATGTTTCAGGCGTTCATATTTCCGTCGTGTTATGCCTTGTTTTCCAAGTGGGCGCCCGACCACGAGCGCAGGTATGTAAATAGTAATGTACCAGTATTATTGTTATTAAAAATACTACGTAGGTGCAAATGTACATAAGTTATGTAATTTATTTTGTCATTTAATTTTTCAGTACTTTCCTATCATTCCCGACAATTGGCGGTAATATCGGCACAATAGCTACCAGCTCACTGTCAGGCTACCTGTCCGAAAATGGCTTCGATGGGGGTTGGCCCTCGGTGTTTTATGTGTCAGGTACTTTTAGCAAGGGTTAACGTTTGTATACTAAATTACTAATAACTTAAATATTGTTTAACATTAATAGCTATGATAGCCATGGTTTGGATGATACTGTGGATACTATTAGTGAAAAGTGAGCCCAAAGATCATCCCTGGGTATCTCATCACGAGTTGCATTACATTCACTCCAATATTAAGTCTAATAAAACTGGTGGACAACCTATTAAGAGGTCTGTCCCGTGGGTTAAGATTTGCACATCGAAAGCCGTGTTATCCGTGTTTTTGGTGAAGTTCACAATGAACTGGAATTATGTATTATTTTTACTTAAGCTACCTGCCTACTTTGATACAGTTTTTAAATACTCAGTGTCCAAGGTATGTATGGTTATTTTGTATAGTAATTTCAACATGATAATTGATAAGTTATTTGTAATAATTTAATTTTCATACAGAATGGACTCATTAACTCAATCGTGTATGTTGTGTTGACAGTTAGGTGGGTGCTATTTCATTAACATTTTTATAACTAACTGTAAATTTATTCTAACCTATCTTAACCTTACCTAACATATCATAGCATACAAAAGCCTTAAATAACTTTGTTAATGAAAAATAGTTAAATATTATAATAGATAAAAATGGTGAAAACTTTGAATTAAAAATATGGGTTTATTTAAGTAAAAATTTAATTAATTTATTTTAAAAACTATTTCATTTGCAGTCTGTTTGCCAGTGGTTTTATCGCCGATTACTTAGTCCGCAAAGAGATTGATAAAACAATTTTGAGAAAAACTTTTGAGACAATCGGTGAGTAGTATTTTGTTGATAAACTAAACATACCACGGATTTTATCATTAGATTAGTTCATTTCGTACGTAACAACAGGTATAATAAAAAATAATTTGTTCGTACTATTTGTGCACTACTAGTATGTAGACAATTATCTGATATACTGGTACATTTATTATATATTTACACGACCGCAATGGTATTTGAAATAAAATATCAGTAATGTACTAGAATGTATATAGCTATTGATTTAGTGCAAAAAAGTGTTAAGTAATTTCAATGATTTAGGTGAAATACCAGTGCCAGAGATTAATAAGGAGTTTCTCATTAAACACTTATAATTATAATCAATATTATTTATTTTAAAGGATTGTTCATTATAAGTTACAGTATATTATATTTAGTTTATTTTTATAAAAATATATAAAATATAAAATAATTTTATTAAGATTAAAACTAATACTGTATTTTAAACACAAATAGCTACGTTTGGAGCAGGGACATGCCTGATTGTCATACCATTAGTTAATTGCAACGATACCGCGGTTATCGCCCTATTAATGCTCGTAAATATTATCTAATTTTAAAATTAATACAAAATTTTAGTATATTAAGTATAACAATGATTTTAACACAACTACCAGGGTATGTTATTATTTGGCGTATCTGCCGGGGGTGAAATAGCTGTTATAGCAGGTGGGTGCTAAATCTATACATACTTATATAAAGTTATTAAAAAAAAGTATTTATTTTAAACTTTTATATTTAATGTCATAAATCAATAGACATGACAAACAACTTCACGGCCACAGTGTTCGCCATCGGGAATACCATAGCGTTATTGACCAGCATACTATCAAGCGAAATTGAAATTAAACTAAAAATTAAGTACAGTATAGAGGGCGATGCAAACGATCATACAATTCATGAATTACGTCCAAAATATAATGAAGAGGAAAGTCATAATTTATGTTTAAGGGATATAATCGCACTGAACGCACAGAAATACAAAATTATATTAACTGTTGAGCAAGCTAACTTTAATGATTTTACCGATAGACTGTTAATTACAAAGAATAGTCTAAATGCTGAGGAAAGTTCATGGTCATTCAGTGCAGCAGAATATTTAGAAACTGACAAGTGGACTGGGTGGAAACAAATCCCTGTTGATACATTTAAGGATCTAGATAAGGATACAGTTATATTCTCTGGTAAAATATAGATTTTAAATTCCTGTTGTTTAATATTAATTTATTACAATTTATTATTAGGTGATACAACATCAAGACTACATTCCATTGCTACACTAACAAGTACCTGGCTAAATTATAACACGAACTGGCATAAGGCTCCAATAAAATATCAAATTAGTGGTGATAAAAAATATTTTACTAGCTTCAATGTAAGCTTGCAAGTGTGTGACTGGTTATCGCATTGCGAAAATGTTCATGCAAAATTAACCAAGGATTCAATAGCTGATAATACTGAGCTAACACAAATCTATGAAGCACAATTTACGACCCAATTAAATTCAAAATATATTAGATTTGTATACCATGTGGAATATTTTAAACCTATAACCGATATGAGCAAGGACAAGTTGACTGTAACATTTAACATCAAAAATGAGCATTTTGGTGAAGGTTGCTATGAAACCTCATGCAGCAAAGAGGGTGGAAAATGTACCCCGGTACTCTTAAACGAGTTTATCTGTGAATGCAATGCTGGTTATGTTGGTGAAAAGTGTGACACTAAAAATGACTGTTTAGATCCCAATTCAGAGGTAATTAAATTTTACTCAGAAATTGTATTTTAATTTACCTCTAGTACTGTATGAACACATCGTTTTAAATCATAAATTAAATTATGAATAAATGAGTGAATATTATATTCATAAAAATCTTATCAAACCTAATTTTAAAATATAATTATAAACAAGCTAACACATTAATGTCATAATTGGTAAACAATGTTAATACTTAAACAAGCTTGCAAATGGAAACCACAAATTGTATTTTATTTATATTATGTTTTATTTTTAAAATATTGATACATTATTTTTTACAAATTCTTTTTAATCAATTATTTTAGGCTGCAAAATCATGCACAAATGGTATCTGTATTTATGATAAAGGATATAAATGTGTAAGTAAAAGCATCTCGCCAATTGGTTGGACCCCTAACGAAGATTCAAGCACATATTCAAATCCCATAAAAGAAAATAAGTTGATATATAAAATTGATGTTGGAAATAGTGAAGCTGTTACTGCAAACGACCATGATATTTGTTTAAAATTTAAATATACCACAAATAATGTCGAGGATATAAAGCTAAAATTCAACCATGTTGCTAATACCAAAACTGAATTATTGGCTGAGAATTTAGCATTGACAAATATTGAAAATACAGAATTTGAATTATGCTTGCAACAGTATCGATCTGTTTATCAAGCAAAGTTTGATATTGAACTAATTGCTACATTTAGTGGTAATAGTGCAAATATTAAAATTAGCGATTTTAATGTAGAGTTTAAAGATTCAAAATTACAATGGCTACCATATTTACATCACTGGACAAAATCGTATGATGGTGGTGCTAATAATGTAGCATTGAATCAATTATGGACCAGCTTTCCGCCAGGTGGTTTTAAACAAGTTCCTGAAGCTGATTCAAAACAACCTTTGTCATATGAATTTAAAGGTATATTATTGTAAACATTGAAAGTGCTTATATATGTGTATCCAGTAACCAAAAACTTCAATTCTGCATTCATACACTATTATTAATGTTATGAAATACTTTTTATTCATATGGAAGCCGGATTGAAGTGATCATGTTCATTATTGAGTAAATAATTTTATTAGAAACAAATAATATCAATTAAAATGTTTATATTTTATTATTACTTTTAATAGGCACGGCAAAATCATTAATTTCAACAAATGCTTATTTAATTAGTAACTGGATACAAAGTGATGATAAACTGGCAAAAGAAAATTATTATAAAATAAAATTTACAACGGTAGATGCCATTGTTGAATTTAGACAAAAGTACCTGTATGTTAATAAAGATAACGAGTTACAAATTGTGGAAAAATTAATAACAATTGATCCTGGTAAAGAGTTAATCCAAAAATTTGACATACCTGGCCAAACTGAAATCAAAATGTTTAAAATAATGTTCGAGATTAATTACAAGCAAAAAACGGATTCTGGAGCAACTGGAAATATAGACATCACAATATCAGATGCTTACCTTGGTGATCCGTGCATTAAAAATAACTTGGGCGATAATATTTGCCAATTTGAAAGCAAATGTTATGGAAAATCACCAGGTGATTATTTTTGTTTATGCACTGACAATTATGGTGGCAAAAATTGTGACAGTAACAAATGTGAGAATAAGGCATGTATACTTATTTGGTAATTTGATAATTATACTTAATTACAATAACTTATTCTAAATAGATTGCAGCATGCAAAAAGTACCCATCCCTACCTAAAACTGCTGATGAAAAAGAAAATATGTGTATTGTACCAGATAGTAATACTGATTACCAGTGCAATTGCCACGATGGTGAATTTGATTGGGTAGATAACAGGTAATTTATTTAAAAATGTTATGATTCTTATTAGATATATAAATCTGTCTATTTGTTAATTCATTATAGGTGTATTAGAAAAATATACAAAAATATACCAGGTAACTGTTACGGTTTAAACTCTAAAATACTTAGCAATGAGGAAATAGGTGATGGTGCAATTAATTTTGAATATACACATAAAAACACGCCAGTTATCAAGGAAAGTGAACCTTTAAAAGACAATGAAATAATTTACTACACATTCAACAATGATCAAAATTCCAAACTTGAACTTTCGATTGACCCTGCTGATGAGTATAAAGATTTATGTATAAATTCATTAAGCTATCAAAATACCAAGGATTCTGAATTGGGAATAGGGTCTGACACAAATAATCTGATTAAATTTTCTACTAAACTTAATAATGATATTTGGATTAAAATGGACCCTGCTAATTACATATGTTTGAGTCAATTTGGGCGCTCAGTTGATGGCAAAAGTCTTACATTGAAAGCTAGTATTAAGGATGTGAATGAAGATATAGTAGCTGTTAAATGGGTAGGGCTATTAAGCCAAACGGATAAAACTAGGGTTGCATGGTCCAAATATATAACACATTGGTCAGATGAAAAGGATAAAGAATTTAAGATTGACGATATATGGACAACTCAATTGGGCTCATCAAACGACTGGACTATTGTGCCGGATGCTACAAAAATGACGCATACAATTACATTTTTAGGTATTACTATGCTTAAAATTATTTAATAGGCTAAATTATATTGGTGCGAATGTTATTACAGATATTTTTTATAATTCTTATAATTTACTAATGTTGTCATTTAATAATTATCTAGCTCCAGCGAATACAGAACCGCACGATGTGTATATTATAAGTGATTGGATAACTAAAGCTAGTGATAATTATATATTGAAATTAAAATTCAGAGATATTGTTAAATATAAAAACGCGTACGTTGTTAAAGTTATAGTATTTGATCAAGATCTAAAGGAAAACATAACCTCGATCGAATTGAAGGTTAGAAAAATTAAATAAATTAAATACAATTTTTAATTTACTATGCAACCATATTCAAATTTAGGATGATAAATTGTACCAAGAATTAATCACCACAATTAACATCAATCAATATTTTCGAATCGGATTCCAAGTAGAAAGTAAATTAATATTTAAAAGTGACCAGGCGTTATTTAGCCTAGAATCGATAAATATGGGCGACTCGTGTATATTGGATGATGGATTTACTTACAATGACTGCAATGGTAATAATGGTTGGTGTAATAGAGTATCAGTGGATAAATCTAAATGCGAATGTGAAAAAGATTATACCGGTAAACTTTGTCAAGAAATTGATTATTGCACCAAGTCACAACCGGTAATATTAACAAATATTTTTCTTACGTTAACTATTTATTATTAACATTACTTGAATACTATTTTAACAAAATACAGTTATCTCTATGCATTTGTATGTAGATATCTATATGCATAACAGATATTTTTAAAATTTTTTATGTTTTATGTTTTCTATTTTATGTCATATATATACTCAGCATTTGATTCTAACTTGCAAATGACAAACCTCCGTAAATTAATAAAACATCTAAATTTCTATATCTAAAATTGAAAATTAAATAGTATCCTGATATTGGCATCGACGATGTCAATGGTGCAAAGTATTGCCAGGACAATTTTAAAGTTGGTTGCACACCATTGAAGAAAAAATTTAAGTGTAATTGCAACGAAAATGAATATTGGAATGTTCAAACATTTAGGTAAATATTGATCAAACACTTAATGCCATAATATATATGAATTAAAAGATCAAACAGAGGCATATGTCTGAAATTTAGTAATGCTTTGGTTTTCACATTTAATATACAGAATAATTTGGAAAGTATATCAAAAATTACTAATTCCTATTGAAAATTTTATATTAAATGTGAAAACCAAAGCATTACTAAATTTCAGACATATGCCTCTGTTTGATCTTTTAATTCATATATATTATATATACTCCATTTCAATAATCGAATTCTATACGTCAACCTTGATTACATACTGTATGTCTGTATTGCAACTAAACAATAGTGAATAATCGTATGAAAGCAGAATTGACGTAAACTTTTAGATTATTTTATACACATTTAATTATTAATTAGTTTAGTAATTATTATAACTAATTTACAAGCATGCTTTGTTTATAGTTGCAATAAAGCGCCAAAGTGTACCTCGAAATCTTGTCCTGATTATAATACAATGAAATGCGTTGAGCCAGATGCACATAGCACAGAAATTACATGTAAATGTCGAGATGGCTACAATCCCGTTAATATTGATAATAAACTCAAATGTGAGCCAGCTACAGCGTGCGATAAAACCCCATGCAAAAACGCCCACACAACATGCTTGTCATTTGGAAAGGGCGTCGATGATTATATATGTGTATGCCCAAGTGGCTATTTTAAAAGTATGTGTAGGCTGTATAGTTTAATAAATTAAAACTAATTTACGGGTAATATTTTATTTTATCTAGCATCCGGGTCAGATGAGGGGACAACAGTGTGCACCAGGGTGGAGCCCTGTAACTTTCCCGGCTTAAATAGGTGTCAACAAAAGTGTATCTCAAAGCCTGATTCGGAAAGTGGGTTTGAGTGTAAATGTAGTCCCGGTGGTTGTGGCGATTCAAATAAATATTGCGAAAGTAATGAATGCCAATGTAAGCCTGGTTATGTTTTGAAAGATGAATCATGCGTTGCTGATTGTGAGTTATTTATTTTGTAATAATAAGAGTTTACTTAAAATTAATTTTTCAACTTTTATTTAAATTGTGTAAGTTGTATATTTTTTTAATGGGACTCACCTAAAAGACCTAAAACCTAAAAGACCTAAACTCAAATAACTTACTGACCAGTGGTCATTTGACTTAATTTAGGTAAGGGTAGGTTAAGTGAGGTTAGGATAAATCTATTCCACTCATCAAATTTAAAATACGATCACTGGTCAGTTAGTTATTTTAGTTTAGGTCTTTTCGGTTTTAGGTCTTTTGGGGTAGAACCTTTTTTAATAGATCATGCTAGTTAATAGAATTGAATATAGAATATAAACAAGATGCTAGACCTTGTTTTAATAAGACTTTAATATAAAAACTAACTTGTTTGTATTCAGTTGACTTATATTAATAATACTGTACTATGATACAAAAGACACACTTAAAATTATTTGAGAAATCTTTCATTAAAAATTTAATTCAAATTTATTACAGTAACTGAACCGAGGTTGGACAAAGTGAATGTATGTCCAAATGAGTTTGAAATTGTAAATAACGAAATCAGATGCAAATGCGAAGGAATTTACGAATTGGATCCGGATACAAAAACATGCAAACTTAAGCCTATATGCAGTGGAACCGGTGAAGGTCTCAAGGATTGCCAGTCCCGGAACGGCTACTGCGCGTACAAAGACATTGACGGTACAAACCATAAAATTGATCACGATTGTCCTTGTCGAGATGATGCCACACCTATCACGGACAAATATAAATGTGTTAATAAGTGTGAGGATGACAGCGATGGTTTAACGGATAATATGGATTGTCGCTCTAAAAATGCACGAGGGTGCAATCCATTTCTATATGGCGAATCTAACCCAGATAATGTTTGCGAATGTGACATTGGCTACGAATGGTCAGGTGACCAATGTAAAATATCGGCCAAAACAGCCAGTTTTAGTTTGACATTTACCCCGATGACTATACTTGAGGACAATTTTAAGAACGTTGAAATTTTAAAAGTGGATGATCGAGCTAAATTAAACGCCATGTTTAAATATGTAGGCATATCGAGCTCATTTAAGACCGAATTTGAAAACTCCATAAAACAAAATCAAATTATTCGGGATACAATTATCTCGGACTATAGAAATCGTACTGCGGCAAAATTTCTCAAAGAGCAATTAGACAAATTTTTAACAGATACAACTAAATATGAACGTTTTGAGGTTAACCAGTGCACATTTAATGAGCCAGATTCATATACTTGTAGAATAGCATTATTCTTAAATGATAAACTCGATCAACCAATTGACATTGGTCAAGCTATGAGAAAGGTTTGCATTAATTCCACGATAGGTGGCAGGTGTAACTTTATTAATGCACCAGAAATAAGTTCAGTGCCTGATGAGATTGAAAACTATATGACTAAGGACACTGGAAATGACGATGCATTTTCAATAGAATTTGATTCAACCAAACTGACCGAGACCAAAATTACTACTTTTGATGTAAGTCATAATACCATGAATTATAGTTAAATTGAACCTGTCGATAACTATATTATAATTACTTTGTGTAGAGCTGTGGATCAGACACATTATTATGCGATGTATGGTCGGATTGTAAACCCGAATCAGGCACCTCCGAGTATCAATGCTTATGTAACCAGGACTATTTTACAGTAGTTGACCGGACAATATTGCCAACTTCGGGGAAAACATTATATAAAGAGAAATGTGACAGTACGTATAAAATTATTATTTAACGCGGTAATTTGTGTGAAATTACATGTATATTATTTTTGTAATAAATAGTTAAAGATGATATTTGTAAGGAATGCCATTCGAAGTCCAATACGGATTGTATACAAACGATACCTGTGATGGACAGTGCAAAACAATGGACGGCACCACCTAATTGCTCTTGCCTGGATCATTATAAAATGGACCACGATATGAAATGTATCGGTAGGTCTAAAAAACTTTAATACAACACTAATATATAATGCCCCTACAGTATCAATGATATAATAATAATTAACCACTATTTACATTGATAATTATTTCTCATGCCCAGTTATAAGAATTAATATTTTTGATATTAAAATAAAATTATTTCTATTTTAATAAATAGACGTTTGCGACGGCATTCAGTGTAATCAAGGTAAGTGTGAGCCAAGAGGTAAGAATGGCATCGCCTGCCTGTGCAATGAGGGCTGGTATGGTGACAATTGCGACAAAGAGGTACCGGTGTCCGACGAGCCGGCACTGGGAGGTTGGATCGCTGGTGTTAGCGTATTAGCCGTGGTGTGCATTTTATTGGTGGTGGTGGCGTTCATTTTCTTTAAAAAGTATGTTGGTTATTAGTTCAAGTAATTAATTTAATAATTAAGTAGCTATTTAACTTATATTAAACTTTACTAATCGTACATAAGTAAGTTAATGTTTAAATGTGTATCTGTGTGAAATGTATCATTGAACTTTTTAAAATTTTTCTAAAATTTTCAGTTTTAAATTTTGCTTGTTTTAAAGATTAATGAATACAGTATATGTAATAATGCATTAGGTTAGATTTGTCTAAACATAATTTATAAAATTCCAGTTTCATAGAAACTTATCAGTGATTTAAATATAAAATTATGGAATTATAGAAATATTTATAAAATGATATTTAACTCCATATTTTTATTTCAAATGTATTTAAATTTTAAAAAATAATATTTAGGTCTAAGAAGGTGAAACACAGAGACAATAATAGTGTCCAACAAATGAATGACTATTCAAACACATCATACAGAGTGGGCCAACACAATGGCAATAATAACGACGGATTTAATCGTGATTAGTAATGCACCCTCGTCATAATAATTAATTATTTACAGTATTTATAAAATACGAAGTATTTGCATTTTTATTAACAAGTAATTTAAAAAATTATGTAATTGAAGTATATTAATAAATCATAAATAAATAAATATTTTATATTCTGGTAATAATTTTATTGTCATTTTGTTGACTATCCGGGTCTTTATCCCAATCCTGTTGTTTCGCTGAACCAAATATAGCGAACACTAAACCCCCGCATATATTGATAGCGCCCGACATATAGAAAACATAACCCCATTGCTTACGGGGGGTGTCGTCGTTAGCCTCCAGTATATACCCGATCACGAGGGGTGTTATGACACCGCATGTAAACGCTATGGTATTCCCGATGGCGAACACTGTGGCCGTGAAGTTGTTTGTCATGTCTATTGATTTATGACATTAAATATAAAAGTTTAAAATAAATACTTTTTTTTAATAACTTTATATAAGTATGTATAGATTTAGCACCCACCTGCTATAACAGCTATTTCACCCCCGGCAGATACGCCAAATAATAACATACCCTGGTAGTTGTGTTAAAATCATTGTTATACTTAATATACTAAAATTTTGTATTAATTTTAAAATTAGATAATATTTACGAGCATTAATAGGGCGATAACCGCGGTATCGTTGCAATTAACTAATGGTATGACAATCAGGCATGTCCCTGCTCCAAACGTAGCTATTTGTGTTTAAAATACAGTATTAGTTTTAATCTTAATAAAATTATTTTATATTTTATATATTTTTATAAAAATAAACTAAATATAATATACTGTAACTTATAATGAACAATCCTTTAAAATAAATAATATTGATTATAATTATAAGTGTTTAATGAGAAACTCCTTATTAATCTCTGGCACTGGTATTTCACCTAAATCATTGAAATTACTTAACACTTTTTTGCACTAAATCAATAGCTATATACATTCTAGTACATTACTGATATTTTATTTCAAATACCATTGCGGTCGTGTAAATATATAATAAATGTACCAGTATATCAGATAATTGTCTACATACTAGTAGTGCACAAATAGTACGAACAAATTATTTTTTATTATACCTGTTGTTACGTACGAAATGAACTAATCTAATGATAAAATCCGTGGTATGTTTAGTTTATCAACAAAATACTACTCACCGATTGTCTCAAAAGTTTTTCTCAAAATTGTTTTATCAATCTCTTTGCGGACTAAGTAATCGGCGATAAAACCACTGGCAAACAGACTGCAAATGAAATAGTTTTTAAAATAAATTAATTAAATTTTTACTTAAATAAACCCATATTTTTAATTCAAAGTTTTCACCATTTTTATCTATTATAATATTTAACTATTTTTCATTAACAAAGTTATTTAAGGCTTTTGTATGCTATGATATGTTAGGTAAGGTTAAGATAGGTTAGAATAAATTTACAGTTAGTTATAAAAATGTTAATGAAATAGCACCCACCTAACTGTCAACACAACATACACGATTGAGTTAATGAGTCCATTCTGTATGAAAATTAAATTATTACAAATAACTTATCAATTATCATGTTGAAATTACTATACAAAATAACCATACATACCTTGGACACTGAGTATTTAAAAACTGTATCAAAGTAGGCAGGTAGCTTAAGTAAAAATAATACATAATTCCAGTTCATTGTGAACTTCACCAAAAACACGGATAACACGGCTTTCGATGTGCAAATCTTAACCCACGGGACAGACCTCTTAATAGGTTGTCCACCAGTTTTATTAGACTTAATATTGGAGTGAATGTAATGCAACTCGTGATGAGATACCCAGGGATGATCTTTGGGCTCACTTTTCACTAATAGTATCCACAGTATCATCCAAACCATGGCTATCATAGCTATTAATGTTAAACAATATTTAAGTTATTAGTAATTTAGTATACAAACGTTAACCCTTGCTAAAAGTACCTGACACATAAAACACCGAGGGCCAACCCCCATCGAAGCCATTTTCGGACAGGTAGCCTGACAGTGAGCTGGTAGCTATTGTGCCGATATTACCGCCAATTGTCGGGAATGATAGGAAAGTACTGAAAAATTAAATGACAAAATAAATTACATAACTTATGTACATTTGCACCTACGTAGTATTTTTAATAACAATAATACTGGTACATTACTATTTACATACCTGCGCTCGTGGTCGGGCGCCCACTTGGAAAACAAGGCATAACACGACGGAAATATGAACGCCTGAAACATACCCAACACCACACGACTGGCCAATAGTAGCCAATAATGCAGTGACCTGGCTATCATTGGTGTCAGCGCGTTCACCAGTATAGACATACCTATACCACCCGCGCACAACCATTTAGCACCAAAAATCTCGGCCAATCGCCCACCTACTATCTGAAACACCAGGTACCCATAGAAAAATGCGCCTAAAATAACACCCTGGTCACTCTCGCTCCAGTCAAACTCGCCAGTATCGTGACCTTTGGCACCGGTATCCGAGTTACTAGTGCCGCACACATCGCTACCACCACCAGGGGAACTGGATTTATTGAACTTGCTCATTGCCACGATAGCCGTGCTTAGGTTAATACGGCACATGTACAGGTTGAATGTGCACAGTAACACCAGCCCGGCCACCATGTATCTAATAGGTATGGCCGGTGCACTGCCCGTAGGTACGGCCGATAAGCTACCGGTCCTCTCACGCCTGGCGATACTGTGTTTGTCATCATCGCTGGCCTTATAGTCACTCATAACGTATTTACGAGAAATAAAAGTTTTTGTTTTCAGTTTGAGTCGAGTTTTGCGTTTCAATCGATTTATAAACACTTTCTGATGCATGAAATCAAAGCAAATATTAGTTAAAACTTATCGTAACTTTTGCTAATCACGTGTTACTACTGTGTGGTTAAGTCTATTGGCATTTGTTTAAGGTATTAGAGATATCTTATAATAGGTTTCTAACAGTGATTTTAAGTTACAGGTATAGCCAACGTAAGGGATTTTTGTTAAAGGTTAGGCAATTCCTATTGAATTGTACTTGATATACACTATGATAAGTTTTGTACGTAAAAATTAGAGGTTATTTTTCAAACTATTTTTGCACTGTTTATCAAACATTATAATTAGTTTAAAATGTAATATAGATGTTTATTGTATGTACTAAAAATATTATAAAAAAATAGTGTACAATATTTTACAGTATTACTACTATATGTATTTAAATTATGATATAAATATACTGATTTAAACAAATCTAAAATTTATATATTTTGTAACATTATAAAGTTAATAATTATGTAAAATAGAAACTAATGTAAGTAATAATGAATTAATTATTATAATTAAATTATAAAAATTTTTACAAAAATAATATTTTCATGTATACATTATTACAAAATATAATAAATACAATAATAGTATTATAAATTATATAAACAGTGTTATTATTATTAAGTAATTTCCTATTAATATTATATTCTGGTAACTATCTTATCATCATTTTGTTGACTATCCGGGTCTTTATCCCAATCCTGTTGTTTCGCTGAACTGAATGCCGCGAACACTAAACCCCCGCATATATTGATAGCGCCCGACATATAGAAAACATAACCCCATTGCTTACGGGGGGTGTCATTGTTAGCCTCCAGTATATACCCGATTACGAGGGGTGTTATGACACCGCATGTAAACGCTATGGTATTCCCGATGGCAAACACTGTGGCCGTGAAGTTGTTTGTCATGTCTATTAAAAATTGTTTTTAAAAAATTAATAATTTCTCAAATAATATTAGTTTAAATTTGTACCTGCTACTATTGCGGTATCACCACCTGCGTATGTACCAAATAATAGCATGCCCTAAAATTTAAATTGACTTTAATTAGTAAATTTGTGTTATTTAAATAACCATGTTACTCACCAACATCATTAAGG